GGTAATTGCATCGTCGTCTCGCGGCGATGTATCGAGGAAAATTCGTCGCGTACGTTACGGGTCGGAAGGGAACTCGGACACGGATAACCGGGAAACACTCCCGAGGGAGGAGGGAAGTTACCGAGATGCTGGTTGCGCGCAAAATAAACGTGGGAAAGAAAATTTGCCCGGCTTAAAGTGGACGCGTTTTCCCGTGAAACTATGACCTTCCTTCATGGACGCCATGGAGGTAACCTGGTCTCTCGAAACTCCGTGATCCGTGAGTCCTGTGGAAGCCGAGATGGTATTTCATCCCATCGAGTTCACGGGCACCTGCTCTCTTTCATCTCGCGATAAAAGTGTTACGTTCTTGGTGGGCATCGAATGACCCCCGAAGCTATCCGACGAAATTAGTTTCAGCCATGGTATCCGTGCTACCTTGCCACCCTATAAAGCCGTGTGCATCACCGCCAGGATTATCGACGTGTCCTGCTGCGAAGAGTGTCCTCGTTCGATACGCAACTTACGCTCTCGGACAGGCTGTCTATTAACATTAAAGCTTGTACGATGAACTCGGTGTCGCCCGAAAGGCTTTTCCACGAAAACAAAAAGGATTCGCTGGACGAGCGTAGATAATTCGTGGGTGGAGAATTGAATCCCATTCAACCATTCATAAATTTGTTTGCTCCGTTGATCCTTCAACGGCGTAATTTTTGCTGAATAAACGCTATGGGATATTCAATGCGATTTCTTAAAGGACAATTCGAGTCGGAAAATTATTTGCGTGAAAAGCGATACAAAGGAAGCTCATTTTCGGACGCTTGAATGCCGCGTCGAAAAAAGAAGTATTAAGGACACGTATGGTCTTTTGCGACGCATAAAGGTAGTGGTTTCTCGTAAAGGAATCGAATCCGCCCACGAAACCTTTCCAATTCGCCCGTCGCTTTGGACCGAAGAATACAGAAGAGGTAAACCCCCTTATTTTATTCTCACAACGACGCCGGAAAACCTTCGATAGCGGAATACTCGAAAATCTCGGCGGAAGCCCCGTTGAAAGCGAAATGGTCTCGGCCTGGCCAACTTCTAAGGAGTAGAGACCAACTTTTGTCAGACAGTATACGTTCGGTATACACACTTTATTTTATTAATGGTCCAAACAGAAACGTTATAATATTCGTTCCTGAATTTACTTGCTATCGACTAATATTATCGGCAATAGAAGCAAGACATTACTTATGCAACGGTAGAACACGTCGGATAGAATTGCTTGGTCCATAGCCAAACGGCAATCGCAGAATCAGCGATAGTTAGAACGCGCATTATCGTTTCCTTCAATTTGCAATAGACGTAACATTCTCAGAGTTCAATATCTATTTTCGTGGAACGAAAGTCTAATATCGTAGGAAAATAAGTAAACATTCCGTCAAACAGAAAAGCCAACCACCAGTAGAAAATATCATTAGGTGGAGAAATATTTACTTTCGGACGATATCCATCAGGATTATCTGAGAAAAGAAAATCATTTCATTCCGAGCTTCACGAAATTATTATTTTTTTTCTTTTTGCTTTAACATGTTTTGCTACACTTATCTATTTTCGGTGTGGCAGTTAAGGTGTTAGATAGTTGCTCGTCGCTCAATAGAATCTATCTATCCATTTTACTTATCGTGCAAACACAAACAACAATCGAACTTGTCTCGTTGTACACGCGACTGCAAAAGTCCCGCGGTCGTGGACAGAGTTTTCGAGTTATTGAACTGGATATACATGTTCATTGCCTCCGGGGAAGTGGTACGTGCCTCGAAGTCGCAATGCGCGAACCGGAAGTATCCGTTTGCAGGAACCTTCCAGTGCTGTACGATTTCGTGGCGTCGAGGGTGGAATCAGGGGGCGTACAAAGAAGATAGAGGGAGAGAAAGTTTCCTATCGAATGGCAAAATGGTTTTACGACACCGCGATTCCGCGTATTCGTCCCAGAATCGATGGAACGTCTTTTCACGAGATTCCCAGAATTCACGCAACGAGAAATTTTATTACGACGATCCCCGTTGCGTTGGTGAACGAATTTCGATAACGACCGGCTTTCAATTGATTGTTATCGAGTGGCTTCTTTGAGGTAGAGACGTACAAAGGAATCGATGGCGTCGTGCGAGAAATCGATGACGAGGTCGCTCGAGGTAATGTTAAGGTGGTACGTAGAACCATGTCGAAGGATCATATGAAAAGCAAACAAGCGTGGTTTGCTTTCAAATGTACCAATAGATCCCCTGGTAAAGCTACCTAGCTGATGCTTTCGGTAGGAAAATATTCAATTGTATTTCACGTTCGATGAAATTTAAACAAAAATTGGAGTTTTAATTTCGAAGCTCAATTTTTGTTAATCCTTTAACTCGTATCACTTCCTAGTCAATTCAACTTTCTAAAATTCTGATTTTCTACATTTGTAAAATTTCAAAAGAAATAAAATCTAGTGTTACTTGTAAAAAATTTGAACGTTATCCAATATAAACCATCATACTGTGAAATGCATGCTCGAAACATTCGCTATTTCCGAGCTTCTCGTGCTGCTGAAGGGAAAAGGACAATTACATAGCTATTCATATCGGTACAGAATCAAAAATCGAGGATTATCGAGAACGTTTAAACGCCATAGAACCGTCGACTTCGCTGAATTCACATTCGACAGGCTGGTTTTGCCGCGTTGCTTGCTACCAGTGAATACTGATGCTTTGTGGTCAGACCGAGGTGACTAGACGAACGCCAGCTGCCAGTAGTTATGGTCGAGCTGTCATCAGACAGGAGTGGCGCGCCAGCAGGCGGTCTCGCTTAGAATGCGTTAAACGTTAAATCGAAACTGATATCGGCTGTTTGAATCAATGGGTAAACATTTAATTTAACGATGGTTATTTCAGAGAACATTTACTCTTTCAGCTGATAGCAGAATTAATATTACAACTTGAGACATCAAAAATTGTGTCATCCACGAGTACGTTATTAAGTTAACTGAATTACTCGACAATGTAATTGATCGAACAAATATGAAGTCTGGAATTAATTTACTTTCATAGCTGGTTCACATTCGAGGACACTTTGCGCGTCGATCGAAGTTTCACGGCGAACAGTTGGCCGTATTGTTTTCGACGCGAACTCCGTCGACTTCTAAATTTATCTTGGCAAAAGTTCCTTGGCCGGCGTTGCCTTCATTTCGATGCATCCGAAGCGTTCGCCGATCTCGAGATTTCAAACAGAGAAACGCGTAACGTGGAACGTTTACCGAAGACTCGAGACTCGGTCTCATCTTCGGATAAACGAACTCGACGCACAAGTGCCTTTCCAATCCGTCTCTTCCGGTTTCGGCCGGTTATATAAGGGATCACACGTGCCCTTCTTAGTAAGCGAAAACGGAACCGCTCTTGAAACTTCTCGAACTGAAAATAATCAACGAGATAGACGCGAAAAGCGAGCAGGAATCTCTTCCTTTAGACTTCTGACGGATAAATGTTATCGAAAAAAAGAACGTGGTCTTTTGATAGCTTTGATTTAAGCTGTTCAAGAACCTTTGAGACTCGATAGTTCTCTTTTCAGTCAAATTAAAAAAAATTGTATTCTATTATTCTTGAAACTCGTGAATGACAAATATCGGAGACCAGCGAACAGATTTTTTCCGGTTATTTTCAACTCCAACTTGCCGTGTACATAGGGAGCACTGGTATTATATTTTGTAAAATACGCGGACCGACGAGACACGTAGAAAACTCATTTCATCACGGTTGCGTGATATTTTTTTTCAATCTGCCCGGATGGATAAACGCGATTCAAATATACCTTTGTCACGACCTCTTGCTCGGTGGAGCTCGTGTGAAATCAAAACACGTCTGGTGTGAGAATCGCGGTCTCGTTTCCCCATAGACGTCGACGATGTTCCCTAAACCCTCCCAGTCGCTTGTCAAACACGTTTCTTCCTCACCCCTTAGGTTTTACCGTCTTCCTCGAGTGTCAGCCCGACCGGAAAGTGGTCTTTCGTTTACATTTCCGGTCACCGCGACAGATCGATCTCCCGTCCCCTTTATTTTTCTGGCAATCCCTGCTTATCGGTTTCCGCAGCTACGAAAATCTTTGCCTCCCCTATATCGGCCTGTTTGACAGACTTTTGCTGGCCAATAATATTCGTCAAATATTAAATAAATTAATTGGAAGAATTTTACACGTTAAATATTAGACGGAGGTTGTTGTAATAAATGGAAAAGAAAAATAAATCATAGAGAATCAGGTTTTGTTTTATCGTAGAAAGAGAACGGGGGTAGTAACAAATTCCTGCCGCGTTTGCTGGTGGAACCCGTGAGCAATAGGGTGATAAGTACGGCATTATCGTGGAAAGGACGAAACAAACGCGTCGACCGAGAACGATAACGGCAATGGTGCATATTTAATAAAGAGCGAAGCGTAGGCTAGCCGTAGGAAAACTGGCGCGGCATGTTAAACACACCTGTGCATCGAAAGTTCGTCATGAATAATTCCGTTTGGCTCGTTTAACGTGGTCGCAGTACGCGTACCAACGGAATTTCCATTAGTTCCCGTTCGACGATAATTGACTTTGCGTCTCACCGGTTCTATTTATTTACTTGCCTTGCCGGTCCTCCGCTAGCCGAGCGAGCTTGAACCGGTAGTAAACAGGAGCGAACACAAAGACAGGGGGAAACAAGGATCCACGGAGGGAAGATTAAATTGCGACCAAGGATCGAGTTAAGGCTTAACAGTTAATTAATCCAGAAATTAAGTCTCGTTCTCGTTCCTTGCTCGTTGTTCGAAATTCTCTGGCTACCTCTTGGTTTCACGTACACTGCTGGCCAAATGTATAGGGAAACTACTCTGTCAGTAGAGTAAGTGTACCATTAGTCAGACAGCCCTCGAAACTCGGGGAATCAGTTGAAGTTTAATTTCCTGAGGAAATTGTTAATGTAGTATTTAATGAAAAATGAAAGGATATGTAGAGATGTTTTTAGATCATGTGATTATTGCAGGGTGGTCCAGCCTTCCCGGTGAACCAGACATTGTCGAACATTTATGGCCGCAGGTCGGCCAGTCCTGATGTTGCAGACCACGTAGATGAAACTCAGGTTCGTAAATCTGTAAATAATTTTCTGTGGCGATTTATGTTTATTGGTAAAGAATTTTGTGATTTCATTTGGTTGATTAACAATCTTATGTCGGCAATGAAGGGTTCTGTCAGGTTCCTGCATAATTTCATTGTAACTGAAAGGATTTCTATTTTACCGACAAATTTCTCCCTTCAATCCCTTTGTCAAGTGTACTTTCGATGCTTGTTGGTAATTTATCAGGTATCGATATTTTCTTATCAACCTACAGATCAAGTATATTTTAAATGGAATTTACTTCGTGTCACTTTTAGTCTTGTGCGAAAAAAGAGGTTTCTTAGAAATTACACAAACAGGAATTAATCTGTTTTACATCAAGGATAAACTAGAATTTTCTGGAGTCTGATTTTCTTTTGTGAACTTTTGCCTTTTCCCATTTCCTTGACAAACAGGGCGGAAAAAATAAGAGATGCTTTATCTCGACTCGAGATGCAACGCACGACCTGCTCTTATTTTTCTGCTTATTTTTCCGTCAAATTTACCTTGTTTCAAGAATTTGTGGAAATACAGTGACATTTGTTTTAAAAAATCTGATAAGTTTAAAGGGAACTGTTATTTTTAAACGAACGAGAGTAATTTGAACGGTTGATATTTGATAAAGTTGAAAATGAGACTGGTGGTGAATAATTTGATCTGATTTTTGCTTCGTCGGTTTGAACGTTCGTAATTGAAACGGATTTCGATTTTATGCGCCATTTCGTCGATTAACGCGAGCACGTGTGACAAAGTCGATGATTACGCGAACAGCCATAGGCGGCTCGCTTGCCGGAATGCAATTTGTAAATTATACCAGAAATCAGCGGACATTATCAGTGCCAGTTCGCGGTTTTCGTGTTTGCAAATGAAGTGCAGAAAGTGCGACACGGTAGCGTATAATGCGTTTCGTTTGATTTAATCGACCTAATTAGCGTGTTAAAATAGTCGCGGCTCCGCGTTATTTAATCTCCTCCAAACGGTCAGATACACGAATTTTCGAATCAGCCATCGTGACAACGAGTTTCGGTCAAATTAATCAGACATAACAGTAGTCTTTCTACGAATTTTCAACTTTTTAAATTTTTATCGTGAAAGAAGCATCGAACAAACTATTCCACTTAAATTTCGACAGAGATTAACCATGTTAGGTCGAAGATCATTACTTGTACAGATGGTGGAACCCTTCTACTCTTGCAAATTGAGAGTGGAAAGTCCATGAACTTCATATAAGACGTGACATCCACTTATTAAACTTCCAAACATTCCACTCATATTTCTCCCTCACAGCTAGAAACATCATACCCTTAAGTACATGTAATAACACTCAACCATAAATTATTATCATATCACTTATTATGTAACTATTGGCTATACAGTTTAATCATTAAAATTACATATTCAATCCAAAATTCTGAACACACCTAGATACACCCATAGCAGAATTTCAATGAACCAAAGAACGAACAGGTCCGTGCTAATTAAAACTCTGACGATACCGTTAATGAATTAATACCAACATTTCGGGTATGTAAATTATAAATAACCAACGAAATAACGTCGCGCCAGCTCTCTGCCATTGAAACACGCGGTTACCGTTCTCCCTGTACCAAGTTTAATTAAGCGGTCGCTTAATCAGACCGGTACGTAAATTTTCAGCGAAATTTCCGTGCAAAGACAATTCGCATCGGGTATCGATCTCCATCCAGGTGACATTTCAATCGTCTAGGCACGATGAGAGTTTCTATACGCTTCGGTATTAAAATAATTCTGAAACGAAATATTTTATTTAAAAATCGTGAAACTTAATTGTTCCAGCTCGTATCGAGCCGAGCGAGAGTGAACGTGAAAAGCGAATGAGAATCTTGCAGCAGTGAATTTGTTCGCATGGAAAACAAGATTAACGCCACCGCATAGAACGGCAACTGCAAACACGGAACGGAACACGTGCGCAAATAAGCTTGCTTACGAGTTTACGGTGTTCGTTCATCAAACACCGTTCGTGCGTTCGATGAAAAGAAACGTGTCGGAATTAGACGTGGTCGGCTTGGTAGGAGCGTCGAAAGCAAAGCGACCACCAACGTCGAGACGTTCGCGTACGCCAGTACCGACGTTAGCGTCCATCCCTTCGAGATTGAAACTTCACCTCCTGCAAAGTTCATCGGGGCTTCGTGAACTTTATACGTTCTTATCTCTTTTTATCCACCTGTGTCGCGAGTGATAGTCTTCCACCTACGCCCTCTTCGCTTTGGAACGACGATTTAGTTGAAAGGTGTTATCGTGTCTGTCGTTGAATAAATGTAAACATATAGGGACCGGTTGGAGACAACGTAGTTCAGTTTATGCGTGCGTAAACATAGCGATCGAGATCCAGTTGTGTTCGAAACAGTCTTCATTCGTCGCGCCTCGAGAAAGGTTGTTCCGTTGTATCGCTCTTCAGAAGAAGTTATTTTAAATAAATAGGTTTTCCTCACAAACAAATCGTTTTAATTATCAGTCAAGATTAGTAGTGAGCTTTAGCAATGATAGTGATTTTGGTTTATTTAACATCTATATTCTCGGTGTGAATTTTGTTTTGACAAGGAAAGTAAGAAATGGAGATGGTGAAGGATGAAGTGTGCCTATTTCAATACCTCATAAAATCCGAAATACCTGAATTCTGGTATCGATGACAGAGGAGTTCGTTAATTGACAGGAATAACCGACCTTGCCAAATCCTTTTGTTTTTCTTGGAAGACTGGCATGAAAACGGTTGTTTGAGTATCTCGATGTTAAACGAGCGTGCGAGAAATAGCTCCTGAGAACCGTGGCTTAAGTAAAATAATCTCCTAAATTGTGGCTCATGGTCAGCATCGTTTATCTTCGAAGAATCTTTCTATTTCTCTTTCGATTGACTTTGCTGTCAAAATACGTCGAAATATCAGAAAGTGTATCAAAGATTATTTGATTCTGAAATGTGATTAGTTGGGGTAGCTACGTTTACCTATCACCCTATATCGCTTCAATTATACACGATTGTAGCGAAACAAAGCCTCGTTTACAAGGTGCGTTATTTCCCGTGGTGGTCCGTGAGTCTTTGATAAACAATTTAACAGGAACGTTGGTGATATTCTTGGAAATGCATAAACGTTTTAGACGCTTTGAAGCTTCCACGTCGGTGGCACGTGCAAAGGCCCCATTAACCGGACGGCGCGGCGTCGGCAACCAAACATTGTCTTCGCCTTCGAACGACGTTAAAAATAACGTCATGACGAACGAAGAGAAACGAATTTTCACCTCGAACACCGGAGAAACTCGTGCGGCAAATGCCGTACGTTCGATGCCGGAATACAAAACATTTTTCTTCCATTAGCGTCAACCTTTCAGCTGCTGCCGCGGCCACTTCGCGGGCCTCTCTTTAAATTTCATTTTTCACTTCTCTTAACTTCTTTATCGCGCTGCGAACTTCCCGGGGACTCGTTCGAGGAATCGCCCTCTCCGTTCTCCGTCTTCCTTTCGAAACTTCTTTATCATCAATCGCGATCATACGATTTCTCTCGAGTCTTTTCCCAACATCGATCAGGATTTCCGCGGATTCCACTGCTCTAGTTCGTTCGTTTCATCGCCTGTTCTCTTAATCTATCCTCAACAGCCGTCTTGAAGTTAACGACGGTATTCCTCTCGGAGAGATAATCGTTTAGCGTCTTTAATGCTTTCTTACCGATTTTCGTTTCGAAGAGCAAATAAATCTTCTGGTTGGAAAGACAGTTTCTCCTAAGCGTTTATATTCGTTCGTTGTACTCGGAAGGTTAAAAGTATCGACGCGAAGGTAAACACGAACAATCGGACGAAGTTGAACGGGACGAGACAATGATCGACTGGGTGTCTATCGTCCGTCATTCACGGCGTCGTTTTAGCGACTATGTGTACGGTGTGCCGATTAAAGTTCGCAAACGGAGAACAAAGAGATCCTGCCAGTTTCTAGAGCACGCTGGTAATCGTAACGTCACCACGAAACGTTCGTCCAATATTTGCGGATGCTGTTGGAATCACGTAAGTTTCCTTTTAAACCTCGATTCATCGTTGTTAACCCTTTCGCTCCGATACACTCCGTAACAAAATGTACTCGTTCGGAACGAAACTCATCACCGAAGGTTCGATATTGACGTAGAGAATATTTGCGTTACACGATTGTTTGGTCAAAGAATTTATTATATTAATTGAAATTATTTCTTTTTCAACGTCCGTACGAGTCTTTGTAAACTTTTTTACAAAGTACGCGTATTCTCTTCGAAGCGAAAAGGTTAATTCTACGAATTAATACAATATGCATGAACTGATAAATAACAGGGATATCCGGCAATTGATTCGAAACCATAGGAACGTGGTCCGTGATACACGATAGAGAATAATTTATCGAAACACGAAGCATCAGCTTTGATATGGTTTCGCGTGTTTTAAAGCGTAACTGCATCGCAATCTCGTTTTCAATGTAAATGGTTTAATATCCGTCGAAATTTCATGCTGCGCTTTCAGTTAAATCCGTTTGGACAGACTGAAGCCGCTGTTTATTTATGCAAACCCGTTACCGGACAGACGTGCAGTTCATTTTACTCGACGCGTTGAAACGTTGAAAAATTCGAGATACAGGCACGAGATCTCTATCGATCCGTTTTTCATTTATCGCTCGACCGAAAATGATGAATCGATAACAAATATAAAAAACTCTTCGTGCTCACGCTATTCGCTTGATTTTTTCGTTTAAATCTTCATCATTTTTTCATCTTCCATTAAAATTTTCATATTCGGTGAAAACAATACCATGCGTCCCTCAATTTAATTTATTAAAAATTGAACGTGAAACAATTAGCTGGATAGGATAATTAAAATTTCATTATCGAGTGTTTAAAGTTTTAGAGTTAAATGAATAGAATTTTCCTTGAAAAGGAGGTGTGGAATTAATCACATTCAACGTAGAATGTAAATATTCAACCTGAAACATGATCCTCGATGAGGGGCTTGAATGATCTCGCGAAAAAGAAACGGATCAGACTCGATTCGCGGGTCTTCGGCTGAAATCATCCCCTTCAGACGAGCGTGTTCGCATCGGCGTCTATTCGAGTAAATGGAAAGGGGATGGTTCGGTAGGAAAAAGGTTTCGGTAAACGTTCGTCTCGATCATTGATACCGCAACCGATGTTGGAACACTGGCTGTCGTATTTGGAAGCCCCGCACGGTTGCGATAATGAAACGAAATCCGAGATTTCAGCGGATCAGCCGGTTCAAGTCGAAGCATCGTCGATATCGAAACCCGATGCAAGCGTATGCGTCAGTCAAGGTTGTGCCACTCGATCGAAACGTGTTTCCCTCGTCCCACGATATTCCTCTTTTCACCCTTACCGAACCTGGTGAAAATGATTTTTCTAAATGTGCCGAAAGTTCGACCTAGCGACGTGTGCTTGCCGAAAATGCTGACGGAAGCGGACGTCGGAAAATACAAACGTAGAATCCCGTCGCCGAGGGTGTGTGTACCACGATGTGTACCTAGTATGGTGCGAACGATTCTCGACCGTCTGCGTGTCAGTATTGTAAGAAAACTCGCATTTTCAACGGGGTGTTTTATTTTGGCACACGTTCGAAAACGTGTCCCTTAATTTTCAAATCTTCAGAACTTCTGTTCTAGCGTCTAGATTTCTTACAGTATTCAGATGATAGATGATGGATGTTTAATGAAGCGTTTGGTGGTGGACGGTGATTAAACGTTGAATTTTTGGTGTTACAGAAACCCCGATACACCGGAGGGGGTGTGGAAGAGCAACTACCACCGCCGCCATCGCCACCGCAGCTGAAGGAAGCCGGACAATTGGATGGAGTTCCTAGACCCAATTCGGTCGACCGTATCCTTCATCCTGATGGTAGCCAGCATATCCTCACTAGTCACGAGGCACTCAACAAGGTAAGTTTCAGCGTCTTCTTAAACGAATGAACATTTAAATTCAGGTCCATTTAACCCTGGCGCACCAATCGAGAATACTCGTTATTTAATAATTTCTTCAAAGAAATTCTATTTATGTAACATGACGATTTATTGAATTAAACCTTCCCGCATGTGTACGTCGACGCATGCTCTGAAAGCGTCGAAATATTCGCCATCTGTTCCGTTCTCTAGCAAACGAAGCGACAATCAATGCGCATCGTCGGCAAATATTGACTCGTACTACTTTTACCGACCGTATGGGGTCGATAGAACAATCCAGCTTCCTGAAATTCTATAAAATAATGTGTTCATCTAGAAATTATCCATTCTTCTTTTTAAATAATCCTACCGATTGATTTTCAAACGAAAAACAAGAAACGAAGCAATTTGCCTACTTGCACCCTTAAATTAGTTTCACTACCCCTCGCGAGATGGCGTACGCGAAGGCATCGTCTTCCTCGAGCGGTCGTTCGATGGTGCCGTCGTCGCGACCCTGATAACACCGTGTCCTGTCTTATCCCACGGATATCCCGAGAAACACGTGGATGTCGCAGTCGAGCCGCGACTTCGTGATCCGTCGGCACCGTGCCGGATCACGTTCGTTCGCCGGAAGTTCGACCTAAACGGCCGCGAGTGCCGCAAGTGCGAAGATTCGAGGCGGGTACCGGAAGATGAACCGAGGAGAGGACGCTAATGAGTCGCTGAAGGCACCGGTGTGACAGATTGAAACGCGTTATTGATCCCCATCCGACACGACCGACTTGGCGTGAATACTGCAGACGCAATGGGTTTTTTCTTTTTGTCACGCTTGATCGACGACGAGACGAAAACCTCTTCGATGACGGATAAACGTTTTTCATTTATCCCGCGCTCGAGTCGCGTTCGTCGATTCGGTTTGATGATCTTCGCGGCACTTCTCTCGATGAAGTTCCCTTTTGAAAGATTGAACGGCGTATGTAATTGGTATCATTTTTTATCAGAAACGAAGCAAACGGGGTGGTAAATAGATCGACGGGATAAACGGATAGACAGGGTGAATTCGTCTTGCCGTGGGAATTGAAATCTCGCGCGGTTTGTTTTGATAAAGATGATAAATCGATAGCCATTAAGCAAGAACGGAACTTCCACGTGAAATCATATTCGCATTTATAATCTCCTAGACGAGTAATGCTTCCATTTCCTATTCTCAAGTTTAAGTGAAATATTATGTATTCTATATTCCTGTTATTACCAGCAGTAATTATTCATAGGAAAAGTTGAATTACACCCCAATACGTTACATTATTTATTGGAAAGGGAATCGTGTAAGGTGAAACTTAAATTAGATCTCTTTGGTTCGATATTACCCTCTATGTACAACGGAAGGAACGTGCTTATCTCGCAACATCAGCTTCGACGATTGCATTATTTATAATACAGAACACGTTATCACCTGTAGTAGGTCCGTGTTTTTTTTTTCTTCTCGATATTATTCCAACTTTTCTTTCTGAATGGAACATCGACGAACGAACGTGACACGAACATATTTTCCTTCTGGACGACTTCGCCTATTCTTTCTCCATTCCTACTGCTGATTTATTGCAGCGTTTTTACCTTTCTCCCTGGGATTCAATTGTTCGAAAATTTTTATCATTGTACTCTAGCAAAAAGAATTCAACGGATCCCTTGTCCGCAATTTTGACGTTGATTGAATTTATAATGGCAATAAAAAGGAGTACAATCAAAGATAGATTCAACAAAATGGAATATTGTTTTTTTTTCTTTTTACTTCTTATCTTTGAAGTAGTTTGCCCCGTAAAATCGAATTGCAATTTGTCGGTAATTCCAAGTTGGTAATGGATTTCACAATCAATTTGTCAAAATACGTCTGAGAATCTATTGTGCAGAGTATCAGTTGTCTGAGATGTTCTATGGTCATTGTGGAAATCGAAAGGAGAGTCTTGAGCACAGTTGATGAAATGGGGTAAGGAAAATTCAGGTGGAAGGGGATGCTTGGTCCAATCGAACAGACGTACGGATACTCTCCGTTTCTCGTCGGCGATTCGGATAGGTGTGTGCCCTTTAAGATGACCCAGATAACGTTCTAGTACTATTTTATATTCTACAGTATCTCGTTCTATGCGATTCTTTTATGAGCGCGCAAGAACGCACTGCAGGGCATTATTTCCCCGAACGAACTTTCCACCCTTGTATCTGCCCTATGCTTTCTCGCTCGCCTCGCTTCCCAAACGATTATACGTTGAAAAATGACACTTTTTCATCGGTATCGAACGGTGATAAAATTTTATTGAACGATCGAATGAAATTGCCGGGTTGCAGTGGTTGGTGCAACAACTAATTACCCGGAGAACGTATAATTAACGATTAATCTTCCTTCTTGGGTCAATTAGTTAAATTACACTCGAGCATTTAGCATGACCGGTACGCTGGTTTCATTTGTAAAATATTCAGTTCGAAGAAATCGATTCTGGATATACCAGACTAACCTGTCACTTTGATGACCCTCTGATGAGTCGAGTGTTCGATGACAAATCGATACATTTATTCGAAATTTTAGCCCGGTTACTTCTACGTCCCTTAATGGAATATTTGATAACCATGAGTCATTCGAGATACGTAGGGTTAACTTTTAAGCTGAATAACAGTAGGATCTCAAGGTTACTCGAGGAGAAACGTAGTTCTACTCGCTCCATTAAAGGTTGAAGTTACGATTCCTTTTCGTGATTCGGTAGAATCAATCGAGTCTTCGTGAGCGGCTGTAGTGAAGTGGTTCGCGACACGCGTGATTCGTGCACCGAGAACCAGGAAGTCAGGCTGGTGTACGAACCGGATATCGTGATACAAACGCGTCCGAACCAACTCACCCTCTACTATATTCTACCTTTACCCACTGACTTTCTGGCGTGACTGGTTCAACAACTGTCGTGCAACTTTCCTTCTGTCCTTTCTCCTAAGAACGTTGCCCCTTCTCGGGAAGCATCACGCGACAAGATTTCGCTCCAGCTTTCGTGCGACTTTCCAAGTTTTTAAACAGTCTTGTATTCGCTTGATAAATATTCGCAAACCCTTTGTCTCGCGAACCGTTTCGTTATTATGATTAATTATCCTGTCAAGTAACCAGCAAGCAAGTTGTGTTCTATTTTAGACCGATCGTTCCGTTGAATTTATAACTACAATATAAAGTTCGAATAAATCAGTTATCGCGAAGAAACACACTATAAATAGAAAAAATTATTCGATTAAATTTATGATGTCAGCCATGAATATTCTTTTGAACGTATTAATCTCAAGGGTCTCAGAGATCTTTATTTATAATATTACTTAAGAACACGCAATTTCATGGAACATTGTCTTGTAAAACCTTCGAGACATTGACGAAGTAAGGTAGCAGTGATGTTCAAGAGAATTGATGAACCCTCGTTCTTTATCCTTTCTTCTCGGTCCGCTATAAATTCAGGTCTGTCTGACTCTAATCGTCTGTTACTACTGCGAACGAAACGTGGCCCTTTTTCATTCGAAACTATAACATCGCCGTCTTGTCTGACACTGTACCGTTTATGCAAAGACGGGAGAATTTCTTCCCCGTAGCGTTTCTTACCGATTATTCTTTCCCGTTGGACTTTAATATATCTCGGGGAGAAAAGGAAAACGAACGGGGTTTCGAAGAAACGATGAGGAGGAACCGTAAACTCTCGTCGTGCTCTTATTGCACGAATACCTCTCAAACGAACGGCTGTCTGACGCATACCTTTTCCGTTCATTTCCTTGAAAGATCCGTGCACCGAAACCCGCCGCTCATTGTACGCGAACTTTTCCCTTTCATTCGCTTGTAAAGGCTTCTTACCGCGAGCGTGGAATTTCTCGCTCGTTACACTCTTGTTCCCGATGCATTACCATAATGCACGCTCGAAATGTTAAAACGTTGCTGCCGTTTCATTCCTTTTGTACGCACAGTTTGTTAACGGACACGAAACATTTTCGTGTTACCGATTATGCGTTTTCGTGGCCACCCCCTTTACGAGTGGTTTAGGGTACACAAAAGGACAGATTTTACACAATGGTAAAAGTTGTCGTATCGAGAATCAAAGCTGGGATTTTCACAGCTACGAACACTAAAGAGGTAGATTCGAAGATAGCAGCCTGTAGCTTCTTTTCCCGAAGATTTCACGTTGCACCTATTCAGTAAATATTGATAAAGTAAAGTAGGCGATAGCGTGCATATACGAATGCAGGTTGTACGAGGCGAACGTGTTCGACAAAGCTTCCAACAACGGATACGACTACTCGGCTCCCCACGACTTTGATAACAGATAAAGCGGTTCGATATTCGATCGAAGTGAAATCTAAAGAAGGTGGAGGGTAGATAGAGGGAGATGTGCCCGATTGCATCGCGAACGACAAGTGGTAGATTCAGCGAAATAGCTGAGCGAAGGGGTGATCGAACGATAAGGTATCGCGTTAACGCGTTCGACTGACGATTTTTCGTGGAAGAAATTTCTTTTTCGCGCGAAAAAAGAAAAAAAATATCGAAGTAAATCGGCTTGCTCCGACTAGGATCTGTTAAATACCGCGCGGCACAATGGCCACATTGTTCGCGACCCGTGGCTGCAGGGATGCTTTTAATTAAAGCTCCCGCGCCTCTTTTTTTTATTTACAGCTTTCGAAAATGCTGCAGACGCTGCATCTACCAGGTTATCGATTCCAACGCGCACTAGATACAATCTTTTTTCCTCGTTACGTACCGAGATGATCATCAATGCCAGTCTTCCACTATTGGAAACGTCGGTGCATTGTTCCGCATTATTGATCGGACGTATTCGTCCACTTAACGATAGTCTCGTAACGACTGTTTGTTTCGTATACCTTCGACGGGACTATCATCGACGAGACAATGAAACACAATCTTCGATATTACTTTAATACTGGTTCATCGGGAGAACGGTTTTAGTAGCTATCGAGGGAAGAAGATCCGATATCCA